GCGCCCCTCACACAGATCGGGACGTCAGGGTCTAAAAACACATGGGAATTTCAACATTCTAACATAAGCCCTTCAAAACCACAATGCAATTTCCATGATTTTGACGCCGATTCTCAAAGAATGGTAGATTCGCCTGAGACATCCTCCGAAAATCGAGCCCCGACGTACCTTCTGGTACCCCAAACACCGCCTCGGAGCCTCCTGGGGGCCTCCTGGAACCTCCTGGGGCCTCCTGGGGCCTCCTTGGGCCTGCGGTCTCTTGGTCGGGCCTCCTGGAGCCTCTTGCGGCCTCCACGGACATCCTCGCAACTTCGAGCCCAGACGTACTCTCCTTCGACCTCCTGGAGCCTCTTGCGGCCTCCTGGAGCCTCCAGGCCACTTTCGCCTGGAACGTCCTCGCAACTCTGGGTTCTGAGATGCCCTGAGCTGAGGTGGTCAGGCCACTTTCGCCTGAGACATCCTCGCAACGCTGACCTCGGAGAGGCATTGCCCTCGTCGATCCTCCTGCTCGATCCCCAATCCTTTGGGGGGGCTCTTCCTCGACCTTAGATTCTTCTGCGTTCACCTCCTGCCTCTTCCCCTTCTCTTAGGCACGCCCTGGCGGCGCCGCGCCAGCTTCCTCTTCTCCATCTCCGATCCCGCCGTCATGGTGTTTTCCTGCTCCAAACGAGCTTTCAGTTTTTTGTATGAGCCTGGGCACACACGTGCCACTCGTATATATGTATATATATATATACATATATAGATATATGATGCTGAACACTGTCTACTTTACACCAGAGAAGAACCCAATGAAAGGATGGTTTGAAATGGGATCGATAAAAATATCGAGAAGGAGATCGATGAAAACATCGACTGGGAACCCAGGAATCCGGGAACCCGGAACCCACCGAAATCGGACCGGAAACAATAAACGGGAACCCGGGAACCCCAAACTGGGAGCCCGGAAACCTAGCTGGCCACCAAAATCGGCGAGAAACTTTCGCCAAATCTTTCAATTTCCGCTAGGATCCCTCCAATGCAAACACTGATTGGGGAACATATACATGGTACACACTCATACACACATTTGGCTACTCGCCGACACCGTGGGGTCTCCAGGCGTGTGAGATTCTCCCCCCGCCCCGTGCCCCCCCCCGGGACCCCAAACCGGCATTTTGACCCCCGCCCCAGCCCGGCGCGACCCCCAGCCGAACTCACCAGGGGGGGTCCCGCCCTCCCCGGGCTCCCCTTGGAACTCTAAGACAGTCCCTGAGGCCATCCAAGAGATTCCCAAGACGGTCCAAAAGGGCCCCGAGTGGCCGAAAGATCGCTCCAGGACGCCCAAGATGGCCTCCAGGCGGCCCAAGATGCCTCCAAGACGCCCCACGAGGCCTCCAAGAGGCCCCCCACGAAGGCCCCAAGAAACAAAAATCGTCGCATTCCCTCCGGAAGCCGTGCGTTTGCAGTATGCTCACCTCTAGGGCTTTCACTACGTCCAAGACAGAGGCCTCCGAGAGAGCTCCAAGACGGCCCAAGAGGGCCTTAAGACTATTAAAGAAATCACCAAGACGACCCAAGAGGGCCCCAGGACGGCCCCAAGAGGGGGCCCAGAGGGGGAACTTCGGCCCCCAGACGCCCCCAGGTTGCCCCAAGAAGCCCCCCTGAGGTCCCAAGAAACCCCTAGGAAGCCCCAAGAAGGCCCCCAAGAGCCCCCCAGAAGGCCCCAAAACTGTATTTGAGACGCCCCCGAGGGGCCTCACACGAGACCCCATCAGCTATCCGACTGGCCTCAGACCTGCACTCCAGTCACGGTGGCGGGATGGGCCGAGGGCCATTCGATCCGCCGCCCCCTGTCGATTCATCGCAGGGGCGCCTGGCGTGCTGGATCCTTTTGGTTTTGGTTTTGTTTTTTTCTAAAAGAACTCCCCCTGGGCCTCCGGCGCGTCCCGCCGAGGGAAGGGAAAGATTGCCCAGGATCTTCCAGAGTCGGTTGCAAAGGGTTTTCCTGCCCCAGACGGCTCCACGACGGCCCAAGATGGCCTCCAAGACGTTTAGGATGGCCCCGAGATACCTCCAAGACGGCCCAAGATGCACCCAGGACGGCTTGAGATGGCCTCAAGATGGGCCAAGACGGCCGAAGAGGCCCCCAAGAGGCCTCCAAGACATCCCAAGTAGTCTCCAAGAGGTCCTCCAGAAGGGGCCAAAGAAGCCATCGAGCTCGGTCGGGAGCGCAACATCCGTACGCTGTGCCAGCTCGACGCGGCCCGATGGCACTTGGCCGAATCCTCCTCTGAGGGAGGGCTGGCCTTCACTGGAATCCGATTGCTTATAGCTGGCATGTGTATTCGTGCACCAATAGACCGTCGAATCTTGGCGCGCAGCGTGATGAAGTGTTCGAGCCCGGTCTCTGACAAGATGACAGCTGGCCCGTTGGTCAAGGGAGGAACTCCTCCGAGTGGTCCAGGCGGCAGAGCTGGGCACTGGAAGGTGCCAAATGGCCCGCTGCACGTGGAAACCCATTCCCCCACCAACCGTCACCCCCGTTGCTCTTGCCAGTGTTGCCATGTCCGCCTCCCCTGGAGTCTTGAGCTCCAGGAGCGAGTTAAAGTCCTTCCTGGGATCGGTAGGCCCACGCCGCCTGGCCCACGAGACAAAGTTTGAGCAGGCCCAGTTTATGGAGCGGCGCAATGTGTGCACAACGGATGAAGCATATAGCTGCGAACGCACCCACATGAACTGCACTTCCATGTGGCAGCTCACTGGAACAGGCGGTTTTAACACCACAGGCAACTGTCGATGTCTGCCATCTGCGCACGTTGCGGTGTCTTCTGGCAGTGCGCCCTTTCGTGGGAGAGGGGGCGGTCCTTGGACCTGAACTGGATGTCAGAGACGATAAAATGCAGACGCTGTAAACAATGACACGCACCAGCAGTGCCGTTCTGGAATTCGGTGTTGCAAATCCAAAACCGGAGCCAGAACGGCTAGAAGGGGGAGGAGGAGGAGGAGGAGGAGGAGGAGGAGGAGGAGGAGGAGGAGGAGAACCATAAACCCAAGACTCATCAACGATGTTGGAATAAACCCTCCGCCAAGCTCCCTCTTCATAGGCACTTACAACGACCAGTGAGGGGTGAGCCCCGTTGGGAACAACCGTTTGAAGATCCTGAAGCATGATTCTTGGAACTTCAACGCCAAGAATCAACCAGACTGTTGTGCCTTGACGACTCTGTATCGCGCCAGAACGCCATTCCTGGGAGTTCAGCACCGCGAATCAACGTAACTGTTCCACCCTGGCAGTTCAGAGTCATTACAAAACACCATATCTGATGCGCTGACCATGGGAACCAGTAGAACTCTTGCAACTGTATCAAACGAATGCGCGCGGCGCTGAGGGCGAGAGCCTTTTTTTGCAAACGACCCGCCCTCAATCCTTGAAACTCTTTCAACTTTTCAAGCGAATGCGCGCGGCGCTAAAACGAGAACTACAGTTTGACAACGGCCCGCCCTCAATCCGCGAAGCTCCTGAAATGTGTTACGACGAATGTGCGCGGCGCTAAGGTGAGAACCACGTGTTTGAAGCGTCCCGCCCTCCATATGTGAACCCGCTGCCAAATTCTAGGCTTCAGAATTATATAAGTGGTAAAGACGTCTCAAGCGAGACCCCTGGGCCGCCCTTTTGACTAGCCCCGGGGTGCGACAGGGAATCATTTTTCATGAGGAAAAGGCATGGGGAGTGATGACGACGGCGAAATGAAGACGAATATGGTCAATAATGGTAACATTAGAAATACTAAGCAATCGAAGAAGCGAGTTAATAGTAGTAGCACTATTATTACTAATCCACACACTGATAATGACACGCATGATCGTACTAATTTGAAGAATGATGCTACGAATGAGGTAAAGAAGACGCAACATGATAATACGAATTATGCGCGAATGCATGAAGGGGCGCTTGTGGGCGTCCACGCCAGAGGCAAGCAGCGGTGGCGGCTGGCTCGTCCCAGTGTAGCCCCTGCGACAAAGGAGGGCGAGGAGGAGGAGCAGGAGGAGGACGAGGGAGGAAGCGCAGGAGGCAGAGGAGGAGGAGGAGGAGCATGCGTGTCGAGGGCATCGTGGTACCACCAGGCACTGCACGCAGTCCAAGGTCCATGGCGGAACGTGGCGGAGGGAGGAGGTGGAGGAGGTAGAAGGGGGAGGGAGGAGGAGAGAGGAAAAGGAGGAGGGGGATGAGGGACGAGGAGGAGGAGGAGAAAGAGGAGAAAGATGAGGAGGAGGAGGACGAGAAGAAGGAGGAGGGAGGAGCCGGAGAAGGAGGAGGAGGAGGAGGAAGAAGAGGGGGGGAGAGAGTAGGTGGAGGAGGAGGAGGCGGAGGAGGAGGAGGAGGGGGAGGAAGAGGGGGAGGGGGGGAGGGCAAGCTAGGTGCGCTCGCGTCATATCTGACATCCTACCCCTCCCTCCCATCCCTTACCATAGCGTAGATCCCCTCTCTACTCGCACAGTCGGATGTCGAGCAGGGCAATGATCGCGAAAGGGTACGCGATGCATTGTAGAGCACGGCATGGCATGGCGTAGAAGAGCACCGCAAAGCGTAGTATCAATCTAGCATTGCATTGCATGCCGTGGCATGGCACGGGAAATGACGCCAGCGCTGCAGCGGGAGCACGAGTCGAAACGAGCGGAAGCGCGGAAATGAGGCCAGCGCTGCAGCGGGAGCACGATTCGGAACGAGCGGAAGCACGGAAATGAGGCCAGCGCTGCAGCGGGAGCACGATTCGGAACGAGCGGGGCCCGAAAATGAGGCCGGCGCCTCAGCGAGAGCAGCATTTTGAAAAAAATGCAAGCGAAAACCCAACTCCCGGGAAAACAATACGCGGGGGGGGGGGGTCGAACACTCCCAGCACGTCATCAGGGGAAGAGGGAGAGTAGTATTCATATTGGGTAATTGTGGAGGAGGAGGAGGAGGAGGAGGTGGAGGAAGAGGAGGTGGAGGCTCACCGCGGTGGCGAGGACGCTTTTTCAGAAGGGGGGGGGGGACAAGTCGGGCGCCAGACAGAGCGCACCAGGGCCGTTCCGCGCGGCGGCCATCCCGTTCGCGAGGCGCGCGCTCGTGTCCTGGACTCAGAAGGCATCGCTTCGCCGCCGCCGTGCCTGGCCAGGGCTCTTCTGGGCCCTGGCGTGTGGTGTGTACAGTCGGGGCCTTGACCTAAGGAACCCAAAATAAGGAACGAGGCCCCTATTTTCCATAAGTTAATCTTCGATTTCCGATCGAAAACCTAAGGAAAATCTAAGGCAAGCTGCGAAACACTCAAGGAACGCGGAGCCCCTCCCCAACCAAAAGGGTTCCTTCTTCAGGGCCCCGACTGTACGTCCTCCTGGCCTCGGCCAGGAGGGTTTACTTTTTGGTCTGCGGGTCGAGAGCTTGCCCCTTCCGGTTAAGAGCTAGGCGGGGCGCGCAAAACACGAATTGGGGAGACACGGCGCGGGCGGGCGGGGCCTCAGGCGGCCGGAGGGTGCGGGGTGCAGGCGGTAAACAATCCAGGAGGGTTCACACACCACCCTGAGGCCCAGGATGTTCCTGGCCAGGCACGGCGATGGCGTGCGTGGAGATGCCCTCTGAGGTTCCGAGGCTCCGTGGCGCGGGCGGCGCGCCGATCATTAACACCTCTGGCAAATAGCACGGTCGCTTGGCAGTGCACCGCAGGCCGGCCAAGGGCAGCGGGAGAGCGGGAGGCCGTGAACGGGAAACTGGAGAGAATGATAGAGTGAGCGAGAAAGAGAGCGCGAGAGAGAGAGAGACACACAAACGCAACCACGTCACGCGTACCTGTGTCTGATCACTTGCCTGCTCCTCGTCCTCCTCTTCCACCCCGGGCCACTCCCCTGTCCTCCAGACCCGCCCCCCCCACTCCACTCCCCTCCCGTCCTCCAGCCCCTGGTCCGCTCTCTTCTCCACCATGCCCCCCGCTTCTCGTTTCGAGATCCTGCTGTCCTCATCGACCTCCTCGGTCCTCCGGCACCTCCTCCTCGGCTAAATCCTCTCGTCTCCATCTCTTCTTACAACCGAGAATCTGATCAATGTCGTTACCATTGAAGGAACCTGTGTCAGCTTCCCGGATGTTCCGAAAAACGAGCCTTGGCCAATCTCTGTCGTTGACGCTGGAGGGGCTAACGTGCTCAAGAAACTGGGCCAGCTTTTTCTGGCAAGCTGGTTCAGAGACGCTGGTCCAGCTTTTCGGGCGAAGGCTTCTCGGTCATACGACCGACTGGAAGTATCCTGCCCAACCTATTGCTCTTGCTCATCCTGCTGCTGCTGGTCATGCCCCTCGCCCTCCTCCGCGCAGTCCCGACGGTCAGACGACATGGCGGCCGACGAGGGAAGAGGAGGAGCGCCAGGCGGCGGGAGGCAGGAGGCGGAGGGATAGATCGAGGGAGATACAAACCTCCTCGAGATCAAACGCAAGCTTCTAATGCTGATCGACGCCCAAGACGCAGCTCGCGGGGTCAGATGTTTGTGCTTGCAGTCGCCAGTTTCGGCGCGAACATTGGAATCTCAGGGTCCTGGGGCGCCGCCATGTCGCGGGAAAAACTTGCGTTTGGTTTCGGGGAGGGATGTGTGGGAACACGAAGCCTCACGGCCCAGACCCCCGTCGGCGTTAGACCACAAGAAGTCTCGACGTCGGGGCCCGCTGAGGGACCCCAGAGACAACAGAACTGCCAGAAGCCTCCCAACGCAACTCTGCGCGGCGCAATGACAATCGCAGTGGTGCTACACGATAAACAGATCCCCCCCCCTCCACACTTCCTCCGGCCCCCAGCGCGGATAGAATCCGAGAGGAGGAGGAAGATGACGACGACGACGACGAGGAGAACGACGAGGCCGAGGATGATGAGGACCGACGTAAACCCAGGAACTATCAACAATGCTGCAATCTCAGCCGCCCCGATCTGTAACACGCAACCCGTCGCGTGCGACAATGAGCTCAACACGTAGATTGAAAACGTAGGTCTGGCACGGTACGTTCAGTACAGCGTTGGCCAACACGTGCCGAGCAAACACGCAGCGTGTTAGCACGGACGTTTTTTGTTGCTCTTAAAAAAACACACACACACACACGGTACGCGCTTCGTTCCACAACGGGCGTATCGGGGCAACGAAAGCTGCAACACATGCTCCCGCCCCCTGCCCAATCCCCATGATCCCTGCCTGCCTTCCTTTCCAGCGTCCCTTGAAGACGAGCTCCTAGCGTGCCTGTCATTCAGGCGAACGCTCTGTGCGAGAACAGGCGAGAACCCCGTTGTGAGAAAAAAATGCCTTCATGCACATCGAGCGGCATGATAGGGCTATACAATTTCACAACGTGTCCAACGAGAACGCCGCTTTGAAGAGGAACCGCACCTTCGTCCGCCCAACCAGTACTCAATGTTGCACTTCTGTTTGCTAAGACTGTGAGACGCTAGATTTTGAAAAGGGACCGCCCTATACCCGTGCAAGTGTTACACGTGTTCCACCTTCTGGTCGTCAACTTTAACGGAGTCTCAAGCGAGAGACCCATTTGAAAAGAGGAACCGCCCTCAACCCTTGTAGCTGTTGAACACGAATGTGCGTGGCCTGAAGGCGAGAAGCCTAATTTAAAAAATACCGCCCCCCATCCGTACAACTAGTGCCACGTTCGAACACATGCGCGCCGCGCTCAAGCGAGACCACCCAGTTTGAAAACCACCACCCCTTGCATCCTTGTAGATGCTGCAAGCCTTTGTAAGAATGCGTGCGGCGCTGAGGCGGGAGCCCACTTTGAATACCACACCCTGGCCCGATCATCCATGTAACAGCTGCAAGCTGTTAAGAGACAAATGTGCGCGGCACCGCTCGCCATCTTTGTAACTGCAGCAAACCATCCATAGAATGTGCGTGGCGCTATTGCGAGGGCACCATATTAAACAGAACGCCGCACTCCGGCCATGTATCTGCTGCGTTATGCTGAGACGAACGAGCGCGGCGCTAGGGCAAGAGCCAAAATTTGAAAAGGACCCCCTCTATCAGTCTAATTGCTGCCCCTTATCAAATTTCAAGACCACATATATGATGAGGATATCTCAAGAGCCCCGCCTGCCCCGCCATACAAACACGTCTGGGGACGCCGTAGGGATGAGCTATATGCAAGGAGGGAGGATGGAGGAGGAGGAGCAGGAGGAGGAGGAGGAACAGGGGGAGGTGCAGGAGGAGGAGGAAGAGGAGGCGAAGGCTCACTGACCAAGTAACCAGGTCTACGAGCGGGGGGACGTCATATAGACAGTCCAACAAGGTTGAAGGGTCCATGGGGACGCACCATTTACTCTGGGAGAGACCCAAACTTGCAGCCTGTACAGGAGGAGAGATGGGAGGGGAGGGGAGAGGAGAAAGAGGAAGAGGAGGAGAAGGAGGGGAAGGGGGATGAGCAGGAGGAGGATCAGGAGGAAGAGGAGAAGGGAGGAGGAGGAAGAAGAGGAGGAATAATAATATAATGAGGAGGAATAATGCAACAATCACGATGCTTATGCATGGCCAACGGAAGAAAAACACAGATGAGGCGGTCTGGGAAGGACGAGGTCTGGGGAGGTCGGGGGGAGGTCTGGGCAGGAGGCTGCTTGCTTATTTACTCTGCGCCCAAAAAGGCACCTCGTCTTTTCCGATGTTCTTTGTACTTCGTTCTACCGCACCATCCTGCAGCCGTAATTCAGGCCTACTGTCTAAATCGGTTTACTTCCTTTTTGCCATTGCCACCGAACGCTACAAGCGCAGCACATGACGTTTGACGAAAGTAGAAAGGAGCAGGAGGAGGAGGAGGAGGAGGAGCTAAGCACCTCAGAGAAATACTTGACGCATGCGAGACGTTAGGCCCAGAGATACGATACAAGCATGCAAACAACCCAAGCTGGCACCCCGCTCCAGAGAGCAGTGCTCAGCCAGCAGAACACTGGCACCGAGGGACGGTATACATCGCCGACGACCTAGCGTCATTTAGACCCAGCTACAATGCGGAGATCTGGACTTCGCCGACTGAAGACGCTACACCTAGACCGCGCTCTGCAGAGCCGCATTGGGTATAGGGTGTACTCAGCCATGAGCAGCAACACAACCGTATCACAAACAAAAACATGTTTGACCCCGTCGACAGCTTAACCTGGACTTCCTGGTACGGACCAGAAGACTCTGATATTACTTCCGACTGGTGCAGCATGGACCAACATACCTGCTATACTTCATGGACATGCTGCTTCACCTTGGAGGCAATTCAACAGAGCAGCTGAAAGACGACTTTCAATAGCTAGAGTGTTTCAACATTGAGATTCTGCTCAGAAGCGCAACGGCATACATGAATGGACTGCCAGAGCCAACGTCGACTTCGACGGCACAACCACATGTTTGGAGACCCGGTGTAGGCTGCCGCACAGTGGACGAAAAACATCGCAAACGCCTGGTACGGCGCAAGCAACCACCAACGACTCGGAATACTTCGAATAGAACCGCCGCCTGAGGACCCACTACCTACTATTAAACTCAGATGCGCAGGCCCGCAATGTCCACAGAGGCTATCAACAAAAGGCGCATGGGCAATACACATGGCCAAATACCACCCGGAGCCGAACCACATACGTGACTACGTATGGGATGGACTTTTTGCAGAGCCTGTGGGATGAACTACCACACGAGACCGCGCCTTATGATGCACCTGACGCGTAGAAGCGTAAGTGTACGTACCTGCTAAAGCATTACCTGGAACCACCCTCAATCACCCGGATACGAGAATTGGACGGCCAAGATGAATAACAATTGGACGGCCAAGATGAATAACATGGAACCGCCCTTCGAAGGGAAGGTTACTACGAGGCCAAAGCCCAACGACCAACAATCAGAGATGACAGTATTGAACCTATGGCACTACCTGGCGAGGACAAACCGCTGCCACCTGTGCCACAACCAATACAAGTATAAGAGGATACGGTATACATTACTGACATGCGGACCAGCATCTCGCAGCGGGAGGTGTATTACTACCTCCACTTCTTCTTAGGACGTCGCAGAGAACTCGACCTGCGACACTACATCGAGAACGACGGCAACAGCCCAGGGAAGGTCATCAGCCTCGGCCAGACCCGCCCTGGGCCAACCTACTGCATCCTGAAGCCAAAGCAAACTGGCTCGCCCTCATGAGAACAGGACTGGTAGCAAGAACACATGCAGGACCACCATGCAAAACTTGGAGTGGCGCCCTGTGGAACTCTTTACACCATCGACAAGATGGCAATCATGGCCACTATGCGACACAGACGAACCTTGGGGACACAAGTGGCTCAATGGTAGAGAAAAGACGCGAACATGTTTTGGAACCGACTACTGCGAATCACCGAACTTTACTACTGAACATTCCCGGTACAACGGGACACCCCGCAACCCCTACCTGGGTAACAAGAGGCGTACCAATATGAAAGCTTCTGGGCACCAAGAGGCGACTCAGAAGCAAAAGCGCGAACATGATCAGCTTCGACCAATACATGCTTGACAGCCGCGGCAGGAAACCTACGACGTTACTTTGCATCCACTTACCGCGTGCTCCAACGATGCTGAACGTACTCGAGAATCTAAGACGTTGCCATCACCGGGGATGCTGATTTACCGCACTAGACTACGACCGCACCGAAGGTAACTTCAGAACAGCGCCGCGTAAGGAATACCCACCATAACATCAATAGCCTCTTCTCCCGGGCGGGGCCACAACGTACGTCCGCAAACCACTCGACGGGTTCATACGCCTGGATCAACAACGTAGTATGCGGCCCGACTTTGCAGGTCATCGTGCCGAACGACAGAATGTGCAGCTACCTATTTGGGATATAGAATATCGAGACGGCGAGCCCTAAACGCTCACGGAAGTATATGACGAGGAAGTTACAGCAACAAACATACGATACTCACATTCTCTTGACACCATACTGCCCCACGCCACAGCTGACCAGGACACCTGCAGCGACATCGCCAGAAAATCGCACACCTATTACTGACGCATTCGCTACGTAGAGAACTGCAATGGCCGAGCACGCCATAGTATAGGTACGATTCGAAGGACCCCGCATACAACGCTGGAGCACCGCCCGAACCGCGAAACATCATCACCATCACCTGCCCTACCCAACCCGCCTGCCTAGATATTTGATGTACCAAGACTACGAGGACAACAAGATCATCACGGGACACGTACGTGAAGTACTGACATTTGTTGACGGAACATATTTTACCCAACGTTGTCTGGATGGCTGTCTTGCTACGTATCTGTTGCAACAGGGAGGCGATCGCACCGCGACTCCGGGTGCAACCAGGTCGCCACGTACACCTCTACGTATACTGTACCCGCAGATGTCTGAGCGGCACTGGCTACCAACTACAAAGCTGCTGGCAACGACACTACCGGCGATAGCGGTGACGCAGAAGTGCTACTCTGACGAGGTGGTGAACTGTAGCATGAAGGGTGCAGCTTCCATGGAGGTGGGCATCTACGGCGCCAACGCAGACTACGACGACACATAGATCCAGGTACTCACGAAAATCCACTCCGCCAAATACAACAACTGCAACAACACGAAAGACGTGTGCTTCACCACCGAGAACATCGAGTACTCGGTCAAGCACTACCTCAAGCGCTACAAGGACAAGCTCCTCACGTTCTACAAGGACAGCGGGGACTACCAGGAGGGTACGTACACAATCGACGGTCGCCAAGGAACCATACATGATGATCGGTACGAATTACAACTGCTCGGCTACACATTTCTCTTCCCACAACAAGGGTACCTCTACATGGCCACGGAGGAATACCCAACCCAAACCAACATAATCATCTACCTGGAGCCCCAGGCGGACTACATCATAATCCCAGTACCCACTGGCCAGCCCACGACGATCACAATACTCAAGAACCACCTGCAGGCCAGGCTTTGCAACACGAAGCGCGACCACCTGGAGACGTACCTGGACAAGTTCGTGATCTACGACTACTGTGCTGAAGGGGACCGCCTGCCTACCACGGCGAAGCTCCACTACAGCCCCGGGCCCAGCGGGGAGACGCACTAGTTCATCCGCATGTGGGACGAGGAGGGCGAGCACGTACCAGAAGGCGCCTGGAAGGATACCGGAGCTACCTACAACCTGGCGAAGTTCATGGATACCGCCTCCGAGTCGCACTACATCATCCACGGGAAGGAGGACGACCAGAACCCGCAGTACAAGCTCGAGGGCAAGGACATCAGGTACGACGGCATCGTGTACTTCGGGGGCATCGTCGCCAAGCGCAGGAAAGACTACGAGACCGGCAACGACGATGTGCTGAACGGCCCCACGACCCGCAAGATCGACAAGGACAAGACCACCGGCCACCCCTAGGATCAGGTCCTACCTGTTCCAGGCGCGGCGTCGTACCAGCACGCGATCCCACGCTGCTACTACGTACGCTATTCCGAGGTGTAAGCACTACATGCTCATTGAGAACTGTACCTTCCTGCTCCCTGACCCGGGCAAAAAATACTTCCGCCTGAGCGACTTCCATCTCGTATCTCACCCCTCATAACGTGCCACGTGCAGTATACGGATATGCAGAACTCAGACCTGGCCAAGAGTACACGTCTCGAGACACCACAGGACAACCGCGAGGACGCCGTTTCCCCTACACATTCTTTCGGCAATACTTTCACTAGCCCGCCTACCATGATTCTTTACGGACCCACTCTGGGATACGCACGGTAAGCAGGCTGCGCCATCATCGCTACTGCAGCTACTGGCTCGAGCACTGGCCACAACCTACGTACACGTCTGCATCCGCCGGACAGCATGCTCACCATGAACTGGCAGGAGCCGCGCGACGAGGCCAGTGGACAACAGCAACTACTGGCGGAAGCAGGAGTATGGCTACGAGACCTGGCATGCAGAACACATGGACACAAGTCGTCAACAAGGTGACCCACGGAGGAGACGAGAAAGCGTACTTCAAATTACCGCCGTCAAGGCCGCGCTACGCCACTGTTTTAAATACCCAGACGACAGGCGCATCTACATCTACAGGCCCAAGGCGCCGAAGGAACAGGTGAGGCTGCAATCGACGATCGAGCCGAAGGACCCCACAATGGCCAGCAGCCCTCTGCCGCTTCGAGACGAATACTGGCACGCGTCTCGGACCTACGCGATCGCAGAATCGCACCCGTGGGAATATGCGGCACGCCTCTTCCACCACATGCCATGGGACCCCCACAAGGACGACTACATGACCTTGTATACTTCTACTGGAGTGCCCACCATCTTCTCAAGAAGGCCATCGCCGCCAAGCTCAACGGACAGCAGCATGATCTGCCCCAGCGCAATACGCGCACTTCAAAATATACTACATGGGCCACGACAACGACGAGGTAACAAACGAACAGAAACTGCATTACCAACCTACTCTCATGGGCGGCTCGAAATACTTCATCGGCGTGCTGGACCAAGACGGCATCTTGACTACACACGATTACTACGACACCGATGGCCTACCGCCCCCCCCCCCGACTGGACTATACAATAAACGCGGTCCTCCACAGATGCTGCACGGCCAGCTCAAACGGGCGCGCGTGGAGCCTATCGAGGGGGACAACTAGGCCATGATGGATACAACGGCACCCCGCTTCTATTCTCTTTTCGAAGTGCCGATCGTTCACGATACTGCTGCACGAACCGCCGGGCTGGTACGCCGACGCCGCTGATACGCACAACTACTGAACCACAACGCCGCAGAGAAGCGTGACTTGCAACTCGTCTTCTGCGTTACGGACAAGATGCTCCGAACACCCCGCTGCCCGCATGCTGCTACCTCTCCGGTGGGTCCGTGGCGTCGGCTGAGCGGCCCCGCCGCTCGCCTGCCTCCCGAGATTCTCTTTCCTGCTCCTTGAGCGATTGGGTGGACAGGTGGCCTCCTCCCTCTGCTGAAGGACAACTCGCCATCGCTCGGACGTCCGTCCCGTGTGCTTTTTGCGGTTTCGTGCGTGGCTTTTTCGCCAAATGATCAAGGATGCTCCTCGATGGTCCTCGCCGAGGAAAAAACGCACACGTCCGAGCGATGCCAAGACAACGATCGGGGGCGACTGGCACAGGGGGGGACGCATCGACCTGGAATCGGCGACACCTCGCCGATGCATCGGCGATGCGCCCCCGACAATGAGTCCGCACGTTCCTGGGCAGGTCGGGGCTATCGGGCCCCTGTCGGACGTCCATTCCCTGTGCTTTTTTCGGTTCGTGCGTGGTTTTTTCGCCAAATGGTCAAGGATGTTCCTCGATGGCCCTCGCCGAGGAAAAAACGCACACGTCCGAGCGATGCCGAGCCCCTGCCGTATCCCCGGACCTCCCCTCCCTCCAAAACAGAACCGGGCCCCCCCCCCGTGGTCTGGGGGGCCCCCGGGCTTCCCGCCGGGGCGCGCCGCGCGCGCGGGCGGGGCGGCGGGGAGAGGGCGCGCTGCGGAGCGATGAGAGAGAGAGAGAGGAGGAGGAGGAGGAGGAGGAGGAGGAGGAGGAGGAGGAGGAGGAGGAAGAGGAGAAGGAGGAAGGAGGAAGGAGGAGGAGGAGGAGGAAGGAGGAGGAGGAGGACCAGTGTAAACCCAGGACTCCTCAAAGTTGTTGGAATAAACCCTCCCTCCAAGCTTCCGATTCGTAGGCCCCTACAGGGATTCAAGGATTCAGTTCCAGTGAGGGAAGTGCCCCGTTGGGAGACAACCGTTTGGACATCCTGAGGCGTACCAAAACACCGTCCTCGGGACCCCAACGCCACGAATCAACCTGACTGTTGCGTCTTGACGGTCCTGAATCGTGCCAGAACACCGTTCCTGGGACGTCAGCACCGCGAATCAACGTAATTGTTGCGACTTGACACTCCTGAATCGTTCCAAGAACCGTTTCTGGTACGCTAGCCATGCGAATCCGTGAGACTCTTCCAAATTCTTAAACCAGGTGTGCGCGGCGCTGAAACGAAAATAACATGTTGAAAAAGAACAGCCCTCAATCCGAGAAGCTCTTGCAACTTTCATCAACGAATGTGCGCGGCGCTAGAGCGATAAATACATGTTGAAAACGACTCGCCCTTAATCCATGAAGCTCTTGCTCTTGTTTAAAACAAATGTGCGCGGCGCTAACGAGACCCACGTGTTGAAAACGACCCGCCCTCAATCCGTGAAACTCTTGCAGCTGTTTAAAACGAATGCACGCGGCTCTAATGCGAGAACCACACTTGGAACACCACCAGCCCTCCATTTGTGAAGCTGCTGCCAACTCTAAGCTTCATGATCGTAACTGGTGAGAAAGCCTCCGGCGAAACGCCCGGCCCGCCCTTCCGACTGTCTTCGGGGTGCGACAAGGAAGAAGTATTGAGAAGGAAAATGTATGGAAGAGGATGAGGAGAACTTGTTTCTAGCAGGTTCCATGCTCTCGTGAAGAGGGTGGAGGAGGAGGAAGAGGAGAAGGATGAGAAGACCTGCACCCTGTACCGCACGGGCCTTCCGCCTTCTTCACATTTGCTCACCACTGTGCCTAAGTCGGTTCTTCTTGCGCCACTGGAGCGCTGCAGCCCCGACGCTCAAGTTCGCTGAACGCAGAAGGATGATGAGGAGGAGGAGGAGGAGAAGGAGGAGGAGAAGGAGGAGGAGGAGGACGAGGCGGAGAGAGGAGGAGGAGGAGGAGGAGGAGGAGGAGGAGGAGGAGGAGGAGGAGGAGGAGGAGGAGGAGGGGAAAAGGAGGAGGAGGAGGAGGAGGAGGAGGAGGAGGAGGAGGAGGAGGAGGAGGAGGAGGAGGAGGAGGAGAGGGAGGACTTGGGGGTGGAGCGCGAGGGGCAGGAAAAAGGTTCGAGGCGGGAGGCGGCGCGCGGGGCGCGGGAAGGCAGGGAGGGCGACGGGCACCGGAAGGACGCGGACGGCGAGCGCGGCGCGCGGAGGCTGGCTCCGAGGGGCACCTCAGCACAGCATCGGCGGGGCGAGCCCGGGGCCCCTGATCGGGGGAAGGTCGGCTACACGCAAGAGTGACCCTGGGCAAGAGTGACCTCTGGTGCGCGGCTTTTGGGGGGCCGCGGGGGGACCAAACTCAGGCGCGCAAGACGCTACCATCGCATCGCCATCGGCGATCGGGGGACCCCGTTGTGCCCGCCCCAAAGGTCACTCCGGCGAAAGGTCACTCTTACGTGTAGTCGAGAACGGCGCCGGGACGACGGTGCCCGCGCAAGAAGTGTCCACGCCGACGGCGTGAAGACCATCGGGCATGATGGCAACGACAATTGCAGCCTGCATGTGGCTCGCCCGCGCTCACCCCCCAGCCCAAAGTTGAAGTGTCCATATTCTGTCCCCCGCGCGTTGCCTCGCACCCGGCCCCGTCAACTTTGGGTAGGGGGGGGGGGGGCGGGGGCTATGGATATTAGTTCGACGCAGTTCGATGTCGCACCATGTTGGCGCGATGGGTGTGGACACTTTTTGTCCACCCACCGGAGGACACATTCGGACGAGGATGAATCGAGAATCTCTGCCTGCCATCGCTCGGACGTCCACTCCCCGTGCATTGCTCGGTGTCGTGCGTGCTCTCCTCGCAAGATGATCCAGGATGCTCCTCGATGGTCCCCGACGAGACAAAATGCACACGTCCGAGCGATGCCAAATCTGAGGCCCCGCGGCTCTGGACGATGTATCGGGCGCCGCGGCCTTCCCACAGCGTTCCAGGAAGCCCTGAGAGCCGTCCATAGCGCTCTGGGATGGGTCTGTCCTGCACGGTTTCCCCCGGGGCCGTAGGCGACCCGAGGAGGGGGAGGAGGAGGAGGTGGAGGAGGTGGAGGAGGGGGAGGGGGAGGAGGAGAAGGAGGGAGGAGGAGGAAGAGGAGGAGGAGGAGGAGGAGGAGGAGGAGGAGGAGGAGGAGGAGGAGGAGGAGGAGGAGGAGGACGGGTCGCCTAAGCCCTTCGGGGAAACCCTCCAGTCTGTCCTTGTCCCTATAACCCGCCCGACAGGGGTCGGCCGCGAGCCCCCGAGGGGGGGATGTGAGAAGGAGAAGGCCTTCCCGGAATGCTCGGAGGTGCCCGGCCTTCGGACAAGTTTGAGGGGGCCCTGGGACACACAAATAAATACACACCAATAAAAGGATTCCCCATGTTTCCCCATATTTTCTAAGCTTTTGTCTTCCCCCCCACACTTCCCATATTTTCCCATATTTTCCGAGGAATCGACGATTAATTGTGTCTGTGTGTTTTTTCCCAACCATCCTGTGGTGTTGGGTCCTCGTTTTGAAGAGACGGTGCCCCGCGTTCCCGCCTCCTTCCTCCTCCTCCCCCCTCCTCCCCCTCCCACACCCATTCTAGCACACCCCTCACACGTTTCGTGGCCCCATAGGGAGCTCCACCGAAGGCCCCAGTGGCTGCGCTCGCATGCGGTTCCACCCCCCATTCTGGCACACCCCTCACACGTTTCGTGGCCCCTTAGGGAGCTCCACCGAAGGCCCCAGTGGCTGCGCTCGCATGCGGTTCCACCCCCATTTGGCACACCCCTCACACGTTTCGTGGCCCCATAGGGAGCTCCACCGAAGGCCCCAGTGGCTGCGCCCGCATGCGGTTCCACCCCCATTCTGGCACACCCCTCACACGTTTCGTGGCCCCATAGGGAGCTCCACCGAAGGCCCCAGTGGCTGCGCCCGCATGCGGTTCCACCCCCCATTCTGGCACACCCCTCACACGTTTCGTGGCCCCATAGGGAGCTCCACCGAAGGCCCCAGTGGCTGCGCCCGCATGCGGTTCCACCCCCCATTCTGGCACACCCCTCACACGCTTCGTGGGTGGCTCCATGGGGAGCTCCACCGAACGCCCCAGTGGCTGCGCTCGCATGTGGTTCCCCCCCCCATTTCGGCACACCCCTCACACGGTTCGTGGCCCCATAGAGAGCTCCACCGAAGGCCCCAGTGGCTGCGCTCGCATGCGGTTCCACCCCCTTTTTCGGCACGCCCTTCACACGTCTCGTGGCCCCATAGGGAGCTCCACCGAACGCCGCAGTGGCTGCGCTCGCATGCGGTTCCACCCCCATTTCGGCACACCCCTCACACGTTTCGTGGCTCCATAGGGAGCTCCACCGAAGGCCCCAGTGGCTGCGCTGGCATGCGGTTCCACACCCCATTCTGGCACACCCCTCGCACGTTTCGTGGCCCCATAGGGGGCTCCACCAAAGGTCCCAGTGGCACTGCCCGCTTGCGTCCGCCACCACCCAGCACAGCCCTTGTTCCCTGCGCTTCACCCACCCAGAACAGCGCTTCGTAGCCCTATACGGAGCTCCACCGAAGGTCCCAGCGGCACCGCCCGCATGCGTCCGCCACCACCCTGCACAGCCCTTGCTCCCTGCCTGCGTTTCACCCACCCAGTACAGCGTTTCGTGGCCCCATAGGGAGCTCCACCGAAGGTCCCAGTGGCACCGCTCGCATGCGTCCGCCACCACGCAGCACAGCCCTTGCTGACCGCGTCTCACCCACCCAGTACAGCGTTTCGTGGCCCCATAGGGAGCTCCACCGAAGGTCCCAGTGGCACCGCCCGCATGCGTCCGCCACCACCCAGCACAATTGCGGCATTCACAACTGCATATGGTTGGGTCCTTCGCCAGGCTAATTCCCTCCTGGAAGTTTTCTAAGCCTTCCCCGAAGACACATCAGACCTCTCAGAGGTCGCGGGGGGCTTCGGGGAGGCCCCGCCGCCTGCGGAGAGCGCCTTCGCCTCCTCGTGCCCCCCCTCGCTCGCCGCCGAAGGGGGGAACGTCCGCTGAGCGACGACAAGAAAGGGGCCTGACGCGAGATGGCATGGCAGCCCTGCGCCGCGGCTTGCGCGGGCCGCTGGCGCGGCACGCCGCACTGAAGAAGAGGGCGCTCACGGGCGACCGTACAAGCCTGGCAGCCTCCGCGCGCGAAGGTCGATGCAGAGACGGCCCGTTTTCTTTTGCGTCGCCCAGCTGACTAACCTCGGCTTCACTCAAGAGCGTCCCTGGGCAAGAGTGACCTCTGGGGCGCGGCTTTTGGGGGGCCGCGGGGGGGGGGGCGGCAAACACGGGCTCGCAAGGCGCTACTATCGCTTCGCGCTCGGCCAAGGGGGGGAGGCCCAATGGTCCCGCACCAAAAGGTCACTCCCGCGAAGGGTCATTCCTACGTGCAGTCGACAAGTCGAAAACCTCACCTGTCCTGGCCAGGCCGGTCGTGTCCCACAGGATCGGCGTATACGCGGGGGAGGGGGGGCTGGAGATTGACACCAACACGGGGGGTCGCCCGCACTGGGGGAGGGTGATCCTGGATCCGGGCGCTAGTGGTCTCTTCTCCTCCCGAGATGCCCACACATGCGGAGTTAGCTCGCGCACGCGCCGTCCGCGAATCCTGCCACAATCGAAAACAGCTACGAAGGCCAAGTAGTCTGAAAGCGCTCCAGCGAGACCAACCGGCCAAGCACGGTCTCAATGCGGCCCCTCGTCGGTGCTGCTGGCGCAACGGCACATATGAGAACGGGGGGTAGCACGGAATTACCACTACCTCCACTTGGGCGCCCGAGTTATCCGGGGTAACTCGGGTCCGGGGTAACGCGGGTTCGGAATCCCGAAAAGCGAACCCGAGTTGGCCCTGACCCGAGTTACCCCTGATGATTTGGGGCTCTGGACGCCCGAGTTATCCGGGGTAACTCGGGCCCGGGGTAACGCGGGTTCGGAATCCCGAAAAGCGAACCCGAGTTAGCCCTGACCCGAGTTACCCCTGATGATTTGGGGCTCTGGACGCCCGAGTTATCTGGGGTAACTCGGGCCCGGGGTAACTCGGGTTTGGAATCCCGAAAAGCGAACCAGAGTTAGCCCTGACCCGAGTTACCCCTGATGATTCGGGGCTCTGATCCACCGAGATCCGGATTATCGTCTCTTGGTGGTGGCAACCGTCGGTGCTGGTGGTGGTGCCAACCTCTGGGCCCACGAGGAGGGCGTATAAACACCGATCCTGGGCCCTCGCATTGGCCTGGCAGGAGGGGGAGGATGGAGGAGGAGGAGGAGGAGGAGGAGGAGGAGGAGGAGAGAGGAGGAGGAGGAGGAGGGAGGGGAGGAGGAGGAGGAGGTGAGGGAGGGAGGAGGAGGAGGGAGGGAGGAGGAGGAGGAGGAGTGGATCGAGGAGGATAAGGAGGAGAGGGAGGATGAGGAGGATCGAGGAGTATGGGGAGGAGGAGGAGGAGGAGGAGGAGGAGGAGGAGGAGGAGAGGAGGAGGGGGAGGAGGTGGAGGAGGAGGAGAGAGGAGGAGCAGGAGCAGGAGGAGGAGGGGAGGAGGAGGAGGATGAGGAGGAGGAGGAGGAGGAGGAGGAGGAGGAAGGAGGAGTGAGGAGGAGGAGAGAGGGCAGCGTCTGGCAGACTGTTCTGCCTTCAGGCTTTCAAGCTTTCAGGAGGAGGAGAGAGGATGGAGGATGGAGGAGGATCTGGGAAAAAGAACATGGGAGTGAGGAGGAGGAGGAGAGGAGGAGGAGGAGGAAGAGGAGGAGGAGAGGGGAGGAGGAGGAGGAGGAGGAGGAGGAGAGGAGGAGGTGGGCAGGTGGACGTCTCCTGGCCTGAAGGCTCCGGCGACCGCCTCCGAGATCGTCACGGACGCCTCCTGCTGGGGCGGACGGCCGGGGAGGAAGAGCAGAGGGGCTCGGCGATTCAGCTCACATCTGACTACCTACCCAGACCACCCCAACCCAACCCGAAGACCCGAATTTCGGGTTGGGGGGGGGGGTATGGGCTCCATCTTCGTTTTGTCGATGTTCCCGGACCCCCCCCCACTGGAAATGGAGGCCAAATGAGGCCTTCGGGTTGGGTTGGGGTGGCTTGGTGGGTGGTGAACATCTACCACCAGAACCTCCGACGCCGTGAGTTTTTGAATCTTGGCGTGCTTCCTCGATTTCGTCCTCTGGGGCCCCTTTCTCGGGCCCCGGGGCCAGAAGACATGGATCGGGGACGCAGAACCGCTCTCCAGGGAAGCGGTCAGGACCTCTGGGCAGCGGATCGAACCATTACACCAGTTGGTGTCTCTGGCGCCTCCCCGGCGCCCGGACGCGCCGATGGACAGAATGAAGCGCCCGGCGGCGCTCGCAGCCAGCCCCCTGCAGCAGATGCCGCACAGTCAGAAGGCATAATGAGGGGAGGGGTGTAGCAAACCAGAGATGTCGAAACTCTCCGGCCTCAGCATGTGCCTAGGCCCACGCCGGCAGTTGGTTCGATGGCACAAGCCTGAAGCCAGGTCAGCTGTCTCTATCTTCTCCTCTGCCTCTCCTCGTCCTCCTCCTCCTCTCCTTCTCGTCCTCGTCTTTCTCCTCTGCCCCTCCTATTCCTCCTCTTCCTCCTCTGCCTCTTCCTCCTCCTCCTTCTCCTCCGCCTCCTCCACTTCACGCATAATGAGGATGAGCGGTAAGGATGCCAGGAGCTTGGAAGGCCATGTTGACGTTTTTCGAGCGGGGCTGGCCAGCGAAAGTTACCATGTATGGGCCGAAGGAGCAAGGATGCAATGGTAGCCTTGGAAAGTTGCCCCTCCTTTTGGCGGCGCGCACAAGGGGATAGGGGGAGGGGGGGAAGGCTATGCTGCTTCTTAGAAAGCGCCGGCCCTACATCTATAGCCAAGGCTCACAACTTCTAAGAAGCAGCGGTGCTGCTAAGAAGCACTCCCGCCTCCCCCTAATCCCCCTCTGCGCGTGGCTGATTCCCAGGTCCTCCCTTCGCCAGCCCAGGGGGAGGAGGAGGAGGATGAGGAGGAGAGCAGGCGGAGCAAGGCGCAGGAGGAAGGAGGAAGAGAAAGAAGAGAGCAGGAGGAAGAGGAGGAGGAGGAGGAGGAGGAAGAGGAGGAGGACGCAGGCGACGGAGGAGAAGAAAGAGGAAGAGGAGGAGGGGAGCAGGAGAGAAAGGAAAACAGATATTTTGCCCTTGCGGACATTCGTTTCGTCCTCTTTCGTTTCATCCACCCTTCGTTCCGCCCACCTTTTGTTTCGCCCACCTTTCGTTTTGCCCGCTTTCGTTTCGTCCGTTTTCGCTTCGCTCGCTGTCGCTGTGGTTGATTGCTCCGCTCGATGGTGCTCAATGAAGATATCGGGCGAATCGAAACTGGACGCGAATCGAAACGAGACGAATTGAGAAACAACATAACAAAACAATTTGAAACCGGGCGACTTGCAACCGCACGAATCGATGCCTGCCGAATTGCAATGGGACGAGTTGAAACCAAATGGCTTGAAACCGGAAAAACACACGGGACGAATTGAAGCAGGACGAATTGAAACCGGACGAGTTTGAACCTCGTCATGGTCATGTTCGTCGTCGTCGTCGCCACTGCCGCCGCCGTAGTGGTAATTGTAGTCGTCGTCGTGGTGGTCATTGCTGGTGGTGCTCGTCGCCGTCATCTTCGTCGTCGTCGTCGTCGTCATCGTCGCCGCCGTTGCCGTCCTGGTCATCGGATTCGTCGTTGTCGTCGTGGTGCTCGTCGTCGTCTCCGTCGTCGGCGCCGCGGACATCGTCGTCGTCAACGTCGTCGTCGTCGTGGTGGTGGTGGTGGTGGTGGTGGTGGTCGTTGTCACCGTTGCCGCCGCCGTCGTCGTGGTCATCATCGTCGTGGTGGCAGTGCCTCGGGTGCGCCCCACGACGATGATGACCACGACGAGCCATGGTGACCACGTCGTGCGCCCCACGACGAGCCACCATCGATGGGGTGCGCAAGGCTTGTCAAAGGCTTAACGACTTCTGCCGTCCTTCGACTCGCGCTGGAGCAGCCGCGAATTCCCTGGAGATCTCTGGATTTATCTGGATGTATCTCGATTTGCCTGGATTTACCCTGATTTATGTCGATTTATCTGCATCTACCTGGATATATCTGGCTCGGCTCCCACAAGTCGAGTGGCGAAAAGTCGATAAGCCCTTAGGGAAAGGCTCCCCATGGCGCAGCCGCGCTGCTGCCGTCGGCGGAGCAGCGCCGGCCCCTGGCACGGTGGGGGGCCGCTCGCGGCCGAGCCCTCGGCCAGCGCGGTGGCCTCTCCGGTGGGGGGGGGGGCCTCTGCGGCGCGTGGCCCCGGGGGTGGGCGCGCAGCCTCCCGGGCGCACTCTCGCGAAGCTCGAGGATCTGCCTGGCTGCTGGCCCCCAAGGCCCTCTGCACCTCGGTCTGGGCGCCAGTGGCGAGCTCCTGCTGGACGTGGGGCTGCTCGTCCCTGTGGCCCGCTCCCAGCTGGAGCCCTTCGGCGTCAACGAGCGGCCCGTCGCTGCTCTGGATCGCACCCTCGTCGACGAGGGTCGAGGGGTTGATGGCCGAAACAGAGGGCGCCGCGTCCTCCTCAACGGGCGTCGCCGACGGGAGCTTGGCACGGGCTGCCTCCCACTCTGGAGTGAGATGCGTCGCCTGGGCCGCGATGTCCTCGGTCTGCCCTGCGTGCAGCAACCACTTTGCTCGTCGTCGAGGACGCGGGCGGCGCCGGGCTCGAGCCGGGCCTGCGCCCGAGGGCAGGAGACGCCCTTGGCCGCCACCCCCTCTCTCGAGAATTAGGGGGGGCCGCATTGGCTGCTCGCTCCTCCTCCTCCTCCTCCTCTTCCTCCTCCTCCTCCTCCTTCTCCTCCTCCTCCACCTCCTCTTCCTCCTCCTCCTCCTCCGCCTCCTCCTCCTCCCCCCCCCACGCCCTCCTCCTCCTCCGCCGCCTTGTTGGCCGCGACCTTCGCCTCAAGCGCCTTGAGCTAGCCCCATCGGAGCCACCGATCTGAATCCTGCGCGCTGCCAAAAAGGATCGGACGGAGGGACGACGGACCGCGGCTCCGAAGCCGCGCCGCAGGAGTGCCAGCCAGCGCCACGGTAAACCCCTGGGCGTCGCGCTTGTGTCCCGCCTTTGGCAGCGCGGGGCAAGGTCGGCGGCCCATTCTGGCCCTCTTGGTGCCCTTGCCAGCCGTCGCGGTGTCAGCGTCGTCCTTGACGGCGAGGGTGGACGCAATGGCAAAGGGGTTGACAACTGGAGGCAAGGGCGCCGGCCCGAAGTTCCACTGGCCAGCCGGGAGTTTCTCCGCCGCGGGGTTGGGCACGAGTGGGGCGCGGCATTGGTAGCACCAGTGGTTGTTCTTGAAGGTCCACCTGTTCCTGCAACTCTGGCGCGCCACGTGCTGGCCAAGATGGTCCTTGCCTTTGCCACACGCGCCGCTATCTCCCTTGTGGCCATGTCTGCGGCCCATGTCCGAGAGGAACATGCGTGGCAAGAAGAAGAAGGGTGGACCCTGGGGCAGTCCAGGGAGCAGCCCGGGTCAGGGCGCACTGACCGAAAGGCAAGATCAAGCCGCGGAGACTGGACTGGCGGTATCCACTTGGTTCAGCTGAGACTCGGGCACCTGGACCCGAGGGAGGAGGACGACGAGGAGAGAAAGGAGAGGGAGGGGGTGGGCGAGGAGGAGGAGGAGGCGGAGGAGGAGGAGGAGAAGGAGGACGACGAGAAGACCCTGTGTGGTTCCCGGCGGCCCGCGAATGCCCTTGGCGGCCCGAGGAGGCACTCGGCGGCCGCGGCCCTCGGAGGCCCTCGGCGGCTGCGACCCCTGGCGATCTTGGAGGCCCTCGGAGTCTCCCTCGCTTCTTCCCTTTCTCCTGCTCCCGCCTGCCTCCCTCCCTCCCCCCCCCTTACTCCCACCCCCCCTCCTCGTCCTTTCCTCCCTCCGAGGCCGCGATGTCGCCGTCGTTGCCGTCGCCTCTGCCGCGGCCCTGGTAAGCGACGCCAGACAGCGTCTCTCTCTCTCTGGAGCCCCTCAGGCAAGCCTAACTTGGACAAGCCAGCAAATTTCGCTTGAGTGACCCGCCTCGTCGTCGAACAAATGTATCGCTCTGCTTGAAGAGGCCCAAGGACACACAAATACATACACACTATTATAATACAAGGATCCCCCATATTTTCTGGATGTTTGTTTTCCCCCCACTTCGCATGTTTTCCCATATTTTCAGGGGAATCGACGATTCATTGTGTCTGTGTGTTCCCTACCTAGGCTCTGCCTAGAAGGGTTCTTACTCTGTAGCTTAAAAGGGCCGGGCAGTGGGAAACGCCCCAGGCGGTTCCCCCAGGATCCGCCCCGCGGTTCCCCTAGTTGCGTCCCCTTAGCTTAGCGTTGCTCATCTCATCTTAGCTTAGCTTATTTCATCTTAGCTTAGCTTAGCTTCATCTTAGTTCAGGTTTATTCCCTATCTAGGCTCTGCCTAGAACGGTTCTTACTCGGTGGGCTTAAAGGGCCGGGCAGTGTAATGCGCCCCGGGCGGTTCCCCCAGGATCCGCCCCGCGGTTCCCCCAGTTGCGCCCCCTTAGCTTAGCGTTGCTTATCTCATCTTAGCTTAGCCCAACTTAACTTAGCTTAGCTGGGCTAAACTTAGCTTTGCCTAGTTAACTTAACTTAGCTTAGCTTAACTTTAGCCTAACCTAGCTTAGCTTAGCTTAGCTCAGCTTAGCGCAGTATTAGCATAGCATAGCATAGCATAGCATACCATAGCATAGCGTAGCATAGCGCAACATAGCATAGCGCAGCATCTCATAGCATATAATATCATACCATAGCATAGCATGGCGTAGCATAACATAGCATAGCATGGCTTAGCTTAACATAGCACAGCGCAGCATAACATACCATATCATACCATAACATAGCATTTCATAGCGCACCATAGCATATCATATCAGATCACAGTGCAGCATAACATAGCATGTCATAGCATAACGCAACATATCATATCATATCATGTCATAACGCAACATGTCACATCATATCATAGCCTAGCATATAATAGCGCTGCATATCACAGCATAACATAATCTGTACTGTTACTACTACTATTACTATCGCTACTGCTACAACTGCGACGATGAGGAGAAGGAGGAGGACTGCGTTTACCGTTACTACTAATATTGCCCTCCTCGAGGCTCCAACTCCTAGGTAGGGTCGCTCTGGGATATTTTTTTCCCCTCCGGACGGTTTTCTGACGAATCATGACGGGGGTGGGCAGGCCGAGCCGCTGCCATTCAGACTGGTCCGGCGGCCTGGTCAGCACTGGGGCCCACGCCCGCAGGTAGGGTGCTCGACGAGGGCCGGCAGGCGGCAAGGTGGCCAGCCGCCGTCTGTCCCTCCCGCCACCGTGCCTGGCTTGTGGGCCAGGGGCCTCTGGAAGGGATGTTAGGGCTTCTTGGGGTGCCCCTTGGGGGCCTCTTCGAGGGCTCTTGGGGTCCTTCCGGGGGCGTGTGTTGGGGGCCTCTCCGGGCTCCTAAGGAGGCTTCTCAGGGGCCGCTAGGAGTGCAGATCGGACCGCCGAGGCACGCCAACCTGCCAAGTTGAACGAACTCGGGCATGGCGGTTCGCAACCAGCGGCGCGGTATCCATGCCACAATTCGGGTCGAGAGCTGGTCTGCCATGTCTGCCTTCGCATCCTCCCCCTCCGAGTCGTTCGCTTTCGATCAGACCGCATTGTTTTCGCTCTGTTTCGCTCCGTGTGGTTTCGTTTCGCCCGCTCTCGTGTTGCTCTTCCTCTTGTTTCGTCCTCTTTCGTTTCGTCCGCGTTCATTTCGCTCGTTCCGCCCGCTTTCGTTCCCGTCGCCCGGTCCGTCCACCATCGTCTCGCTTGCTTTCGATTCGTCCGCTGCCGCTTTCTCCTCTTCCGTTCCGTCCGATGTCATTCCGCCTGGTGTTGCTTTGGTCCTTTTCGTGCTCGTTTCCGCCCCGTCCTTTAAGAATGGTGCCATTTTTCGTGTCAAACTTGTTCGCTGCAACCTCTTTCGGGTCGTCCTCTTTCGTTTCGTCGTCTTTCGTTACAGTCGGGGCCTTGACCTAAGGAACCCTACATAAGGAACGAGGCCTCTTTTTCCCATAAGTTAAACTTCGACTTCCGATCGAAAACGTAAGGAAAACCTGAGGCAGGCTGCGAAACACTTCAGGAACGCGGAGCCCCTCCCCAGCGAAAAGGGTTCCTTCTTCAGGGCCCCGACTGTATGGGGCACCTGTCGGCGGTGATTGCTTTCTTGTTTTGGGCAGCAGAGCAGAGCAAGAGGGCGAGTCCGCTGCCCCTATAAGGGGGAGCAAGAGGAGGGAGAGGAGGAGGAGGAGGAGCAAGAGGAGGGAGAGGAGGAGGAGGAGGAGGAGGAGGAGGAGGAGGAGGAGGAGGAGGAGGAGGAGGAGGAGGTGTCATCGTTTCGTCCTCTTTCGCTTCGCCCTCTTTCGTGGTGTCGCCTTTCCTGTCCCCTGCCGTCTCGCCCGCCCGATATGCGCGCGCGGGGGGCGGACCGGCGCGCGTCGAGCGGACGAATGGAAACCGGGACGAGCTGAAACCTGGACGAGTGGAAGCTGGACGAAGTGAAGCGCAGACGAGTCGAAACTTGACGAATTGAAGCTCCCCCTCCCCCTCCTCCTCCTCCTCCTCCTCCTCCTCCTCCTCCTCCTCCTCCTCCTAGCCCTTTCGATCAGGGTCGGCGGCACCGGCCGTCAGGCCTCTCCAATCGAAACTTGACGACTTGAAGCATGGACGCATTGAAGACAGAACGAATCAAAACTGGACGAGCCAACTCGGAGGAGCCGGAGCGGAGGAACCAAATCGGACGAAGCGAAGCTGGCGAATCGGAGCGGGCGGGATCAAACTCGGATGAGGGCTGCTCCGTGGGGGTGGAGCGTCGAATCCGGGCGCAGGTTCTACGAGCTCACCGCGCAGGCTGGAGCGTCTTGGGGCGCACGTGGTTGTCCGGGGGCTTTCCTAGAATAAAGGGACCCCAGGACACACAAATAAATACACACAAATAAAAATACTCCCCATATTTTCCCATATTTTCTGGGTTTTTGTCTCCCCCCCACTGCCCATAGTTTCGCATATTTTCCTGGGGATCGACGATTGATTGTGTCTGTGTTTTTTCCCCTCCTGATATAAAACAGTTTCGCGACGGACCTCAGGATCGCCCAAGAGCGCCCATGAGGTTTGGGAATCTGGGCCGTGGGCCCGCGGCCCCTTTCCAAGGATCTTCTCAATGCTCAATACTCAATATATAGAGAGAACCCGAATGGACCTGAGCTTCTCTTTCGTTTCGGTCGTCTTCGTTTCGTTCTTTCTCGTTCCCTCCTGTTTTGTTACGTTCCCATTCGTTTCGCCATCTTTCGTCTCGTCCTCTTCTTTTCGTCCTCTCCTCTTTGGCTTCTTCCCCTTTCAGCTCGTCCTCTTCCGTTTCGTCCTCTTTTCCTTCGTCTTCTGTCTTTTCGTCCGCTTTCGTTTCGTCCACTCGAAACGCGCGCGGGGCGGCCAGGCGCTTGTCGAATGGACGAATTGAAACCAGACGAATTGAAATTGGACGAATTGAGACTGGACGAATTGAAGCGCGGGCGAATCGAACCTGTACGAATGGAAACCCAGACGAATCGAAGCCTGGACGATTTGAAACCGGACGAAGCGAAGCGGACGAATCCAAGCGGACGAATTGAAGCGGACAAAATGAAAATCTGACGAAATGAAGATCTGACGACATGAAGCGGAATCGTTCTCCCTCCTCCTTGTTTGCCCAGTCCCCCCCCTGCTCGCCCGACCCGGCTCCTTGCAGGGGCCCAAACGGACACACAAACAAGCACACCCACAAGTCCCAGGAGATTCCCCCTATTTTCTTATGTTTCCTGGAGTTTCGTCTTCCCCCCACTTCCCATATTTTCCTTTACTTTCCTGGGGCTCGACGATCACTTGTGTCTGCGTTTTTTCCCCTGCAGTTTCGTCTTCCCCCCCACTTCCCATATTTCCTTATACTTTTCTGGGGCTCGACGATTACCTGTGTCTTCGTTTTTTTCCCCTCCTGCTTCCTGGACGTCCGTGAGGCACCAGGCGTCGAACGGAGCCCCGCTGAGAGAAAGGCTGCAGACCGACCTGTCGCCCAGCCCGAACATGCCGAAGCCCATCTCGCCTGCGGCTCCGCCGCCCTTGTCGTACCGGACCTGGCAGGCCAGAGCAGCGTTAGAAAAATAAATAATCACATAAACACAGAAACTTTTGGCGCTCCGCGCTGATTTCTTGGATCCGCGCTGTACCCCCTCCTCCTCCTCCTCCTCCTCTCCTCCTCCTCCTCCTCCTCCCCTCCTCTCCTCCTCCTCCCCCTCCTCTCCTCCTCCTCCCCTCCTCCTCCTCCTCTCCCTGGTGCGCGGAGCGCGCCAGGGGCGGCGCCGAAGGCGCCGCCGGGGGGGGGGGGGCAGCGCAGATCCAAAGCGCCAGAAGTTTATGTTTACGCGGTTTGTTCTTCTTCGGCGCATACACTCGCCATCGCTCGGACGTCCATTCCCTGTGTTTTTGTCGGTTTAGTGCGTGGTTTTTTCGCCAAATGATCAAGGATGCTCCTCGATGGTCCTCGCCGAAGAAAAAATGCACACGTCCGAGCGATGCCAAGATACAACCGCGAAAATCGGATCGGATCGGCAACGGATCGGGTCGCGACTGGATCGTCGCGGAACCAGGTCGTCTGGGACCGCTGATCGGGTGACTCGGCCCGCGCCGGGTCGGACTGCGCCGAAATCGTGCGGAGCGCGAATCGGATCGTGGGCAGCCCTGCCTGGAACTCGAAGAAGGAGAAGCCCACCAGCAGCGATGACTGGTTCGCAGACCTTCGGATCATGGCTCGCAGGTCGCTCCTCAGGTCGGCGCCGCGGTTGGGCGCGTGGTACTCCCCGACGAACACCGGCTTGCGGAACTCCTCGGGGGCGTCCACGAGGGGGGCGTCCAAGAGAGGGGCGGCCAAGGGAGGGCGAGGAGACGCATTGAGGAAAGAGGAGGGGGCCATGATATCCGAGGAGACAGCACGGCCCTGGCCATGATATCCACACACCCCTCATCATCACCCCTCTCGGACGACCCCGAACTCCAGCTCGTACTGCCCGAGGAACAGCCGGAAGAACTCCTCCGCGGTGTTCTCGGTGTTTACGCTGTGGACGAAGCGCTCCTCGTAGGCCTTCCACAGGTCGTTGCGCGGCTGGTACCCGACGGCCATGGGGTTCCGCATGGCGTTGCGGAGTTCCCACATCTGGAGCCCACTTTCTCTTGCTCGCGATCACGCCCGTGACCGGCCCAACACCGCCCCCCCTTTCCCGCTCCGGGTCACGTTACGGCTGGGAGTCAGACGTTCCTAAGCACTCCCAGACGGCGCCAGCACGGATCGTGACGTGACCGGCTCCCTCCTACCCTCCCCTGTCACGCCCATTAGGTCCAGGGGACTGAGAATTGATTACCCCAGTGCGACCCTATCTAGAAGTTGGAGCCCCTAGGAAAGCAGCATTAGTTGCTATGCTATGCTATGCTATGCTAAGATGATCACGAGATCAGCAACGCTGAGCTAAGGGGACGTAGCTGGGGGAACCGCGGGGCGGATCCTGGGGGAACCGCCCGGGGCGGTTTGCACTGCCCGGCCCCTTTGAGACAGAGAGGAAGAACCCTCTACCCAGACATCCGACGTCTCGATTTTTTCGCGACACGGGCCCCCGACCTCCGGACCACTTCCCCGGGACCGGTTTTCCACCCCGAACCCTTCTTTGACGGTCCCGCGAGGCCCGGCGAGGGCCCCGAGAGGCCGGAAACGACGAAAAATCTTGGTCTCGATTTTTTCGAGACGCCCGATGTCTGGGTAGGCAGAGCCTACAGGCAGGGCACAAACGGTCTCCTGCCCCAGCGCGGGCACGTCGCCGAAGCGTGCGCAGAACCTGCAGACCGAGAACGAGAAGGTCACCGTGAGGCTCGGGCGGGGGCCCTGCACGCCAGCCTCCCGCTCCGCGTCCAGGACCGCGTCCAGGGCGCTGACCATGGCCTTCGCGAAGACGTTCGGGAGGATGTCCCCGGCGAGCTTCAGCTCGGGCTCGTTCATGAGGACCACGGCGCTGATGGCGCTGTGGTAGGTGGCCGTGCGGCCGCGGAGGAAGCCGCCTCGGAGCACGCCCAGGTAGTTCTCCTTGATCTGCTCGTAGCAGTCGAAGTCGGTCCACTGGCACCTCTTCTCCATCTGGGTGTACGGATAGTCGCTGATCCCAGGTATAACCTTCAGCTGCAATGCCTCGACCTCGCTCAAGAAGTCTGAGTGGTCCAGGGTGGGGTCGTTGCCGTACAGCCTCACCGTGTTGGCTCCGAGCGCCTTCATGATGCGGAGGTCGCCGCGGCCTTGCTGGCCCCACAGGGCCACGGTTTCGTTGCTCATGAAGTCGTCGTGGGGGAGCACCGGGCCAGGATTCTTGAGGGGCACCGGGGAGTAGCTGATGGCCTTCAGCACGCCGCCGTAGTCGAAGAGGACGGTGACAGTGGTGGTGGAGGTGGCGCTGGTGGTGGACGCGGTGGTGGACGTGCTGGTGGACGTGCTGGTTGACGTGGTGGTTGACGTGGTGGTGGTGGTCTCGGCAGGCGGCGCCATCACCACCGCGCCGGCGACGCCGGCAGTGGCCGCAGCGCTTGCGGGGACCGCGTCCGCGGCGGCCTTGGCCGCGGGGCTGCTGGGGTCTTCGTGGCCCGCGGCCGCCAGGCTGGCGGCGCCGCGATGGCCGCCGCGGTCCTCCAGGGCCGCCGAGGGCACCGGCGGGGGGTCGCCGCGGCGTCGGCGATGGCCGCCGCCCCGGGGCTGCGCGGTGGCAGCGGCGGCGGGGCGGCCGCCGCGAGGGGGCCGCGGGGTGCCCGCCGCCGTCGGGGCGGCGGTGGGGCGGCTGGCGTTCGCGGGGTGCGCGGCGGCAGTGGAGGCGGGCCGGCGGCGGGGTCCGTCTGCGGCAGCCGGGGCAGCGGGCGGCGGTGTCGGGCGGGGTGGCGCGGGCGCCGCCGAGGGAGCCTCGGACTGCGCGTCCCTCCCGCCTTCAGATCTCGTCCCCTGGCACAGCTGTTTCCCTTCGTCCTGCTCCCTGTGCTCTTTTACGCTCATGCCCTGCAGGCCTGCTCTGCCCTGCCCTGCCCTGCAGGGCGGCTCGACAGGCGTCCTCAGCTGCGGGAGTGGCCTCACCTCCGGAAGCCTCCACCTGGCAAACCCAGCGATGTACCATGATGTGCTTGCCCATTCAAGGTAACCTGGCCCCGTTACGCAGTGACTGTTGGCATGCTTACGCAGTGCGGGGGGCCCTGCTGCGTGCACGGTAATGTTCAGATTGGGGGCCGAATGTGTGACCATGTGTACTTTGTGTTACTGATGTCCGCGGCGAGCAGTCGTCACGCAGAGGCGGACAGTGTAAATGATGATGATGCTGATGCTGATGCTCATGCTGATGATGATGATGCTGCTGCTGCTGATGATGATGATGATGATGATGATGATGGTGATGATGATGATGATGATGACGACGATGATGATGATGATGATGATGATGATGATGATGATGATGGTGGTGGTGATGATGAAAAAGAGGAGGAGTATGAAGAGGAGGAGGGGGAGAAAGAGGAGGAAGAGGAGGACATGGAGGAGGGAGAAACCAGGATGGAGGAAGGTGGAGGGAGGTAACTTTCGGAACATTTTGACCATGCCCGAAAGACCGAGTTCGGCTGCGAAACGCGGACCCGACGCCGTCTGCCAGGTGCACACCTGTGGGAGGGGATGGGGGGCGCATGAAGATGGGGAGAAGGACGGAGGGATAAGCGAGGAGGGAAGACTAAGTCGGATAATGGGCAAGGAGGAGGAGAAGGAGGAGGAGGAGGAGGACAGGCGAAACACCAGGGGGCGACCGGGCGCGATGCGGCCGCAAATCTGGAAAATACAGGCCGCGTCTGGGCGCAGAGAGGGACAGCACCAGAACCGTCCGCGACGCGGCGCGCGCCGACCTGGGAGGCTCGGGCGCTGCTTGCTGGCGAGGACGGGAGGAGGGCAATGAGGGAAGCACGAGGAGAAGGGCGAGGAGGGAGAACGAGGAGGAGGGCGAGGAGTGGAGGGACGAAGAGGGGGAGGACGAGCACTGCCAGCCAGGAGCTTTGGGGGAGGGGGCAGCATTAAGTATCCCCTGAGGTTGGAACTGGGGAGGGGGGAAGACACCTGCACCTTTCGTGCACCGTCGGGGGCCCCAAGGGGCCTCTTTACACGGAACCTCTCCTGCGACCCCTCCGTTTCGCTCCTGAAGCTCAAGAGGCACCGGCGTGTCAGCCTTCGGTGCTCCCTGGGCCTCGTGGAGCTCCAGGAACGTGTAAGTTCCTTCGTTTTTCCTGCGACCCTCGGCCGCCCCCGCCCACATCCTCCCCGCCAACATGCGACGCGCCCGAGAGGCCACGAAGGCGTGGGCACCGGAGGCACTCACAGCTCGTCGTGGTGCCGCAGGGCGTGCTGGCACAGCTCTGCCGCATGGAGGGGGCTCCTGGCCGGAACCCAGAAATTCGTGGCCGACTCTGACACGGTTAGGTCAGGCACGTCCCCCTTACAGGCGGGTTTTGGATGAACAAAGCTCAAACTACTCCGACGGTAGAACCCCACAAGAGAATCTATTTAGATTGTCCCTCGCCCTTTTCTTTTTCGACTGGCGGAGACCCTGCTTCCACCCTCTGCGTCCTCCTCCTCCTCCTCCTTCTCGTCTTGCTTTTCCGCCTCCTCCTTCTCCTCCTCTTCCTTTTCCTCGTCCTCCGCCTCTTCCTCCCTTCCCCCCTCCTCCTCGTATTATTCCTCCTCTTCGTCCTTTTCTTGCTCCTCCTTGACCTCCCCTTCTTCTCCCCCTCACCATCTCCGCGCCGCCTGTTCTCCTCGTGCACCTCTCCTTCCTCCCGGCAGGAGCGCGCGCGTCGGTTTTAGTCGTCCCCGTCGCCGCCTCGGCAGCACGGGCGCATTCTCTACTGGCCACATCGCGCAGCCGTTGGGACAACCTTGCGGGACAACCCCGCGAGCCGTCGGCGCGCGAGACGAGGCAGTTGGGACAACCCCGCGGGTTCGAGCGGGGCGCAGCCGCGCTCAGGCGAGAGGCAGCGCGAAGCCCAGCGCTGTCGCGAGCTGTGGAACTCTCCGCTATCTCGTCAACTTCTCGAATGCCTTCCGCAAGGGCGCCGCGGCCCTCGCTCCAGAAACTCGCGCGACGGCGGCCGCAGGATCAGCATGTTCCGCATGCGCGTGGTGCGGGAGAACATGACGTAGGGGTGCAGCCACCACTGGTCGTCCGACATGCCCGTGTGGCCAGCGTCCTCCTCCCTCGCGCAATCGATGGTGACGCCCTTCCGCATAGTCTGGCCCTGCGACGGCGTGGAGGTGCGGCAGGACGCATGCGTCATGTGAACACCGAGAGGCGCACGGCGTGACGATAGTTGCAAAGTTCCGATGACCCGCTCGGATTGATAACATGATCAGCGGGCCACATAGGGAGGAGGCTCCCACCTGAGACTTCCTCGCAGATCACTCACGGATGAGGCTCCCGCCTGATACTTCCCCCGTTATGCAGGCCCCACGAGCCCAAACATGACGACAAGTATAAGGTTCCGATGACCCGCTAGGATTAGTAACGTGATTTGCGGACCCCACAAGGAGGATGATCCCGCAGGACACCCCCTCGCAATTCACTCACAGAAGAGGCTCCCGCTTCATATTTCCCACATATGCAGGCCCCACGGCACGAGCCCCAAAGTGACGATAATTACAAGGTTCCGATGGCCCGCTCGGATTAATAACATCATTTGCGGGCCACATAGGGAGGGGGCTCCCGCCTGAGACTTCCTCGCAGTTCACTCACAGACGAGGCTCCCGCCTGATTTCCCCCCTTTATGCAGGCCCCACGAACCCAAACATGACGACAGGTATAAGGTCCTGATGACCCGCTCGGATTAATAACATGATCTGCGGACCTCATAAAGAGGAGGCTTCCGCCTGAGACTTCCTCGCAGTTCACTCACAGACGAAGCTCTCACCTGATACTTGCTCCATCGTCAAGCCGCAGGAGCCTAAACGTGACGACAGTTACAAGGTTCCGATGACCCGCTCGGATCAATAACATGATTTCGGGCCACATAAGGAGTGGGCTCCCGCCTGAAACGTCCTCGCCATTCACTCACAGACGAAGCTCCCGCCTGAGACTTCCCCCATATTCAAGCCTCAGAAACCCAGAAGTGACGACGGTTACAGGGTTCCGATGACCCGCTTGGATTGATAACATGACCTGCGGGCCCCACAGGTAAGGGGCTCCCGCCTGAGACTTCCTCGCAGTTCACTCACAGACGAGGCTCCCGCTTCATATTTCCCAGATATGCAGGCCCCACGAGCCCAAAAGTGACGACGGTTACAGGGTTCCGATGACCCGCTCGGATTAGTAACATGATTTGCGGGCCCACAGGTAGGGCACCCGCCCGAGACTTCCTCGCAGTTCACTCACAGACGAGGCTCCCGCCTGAGACTTCCGCCATACTTACGCTTCAGGAAGCCAAAAGTGACGACAGGTACAAGATTCCGATGACCTGCTCGGATTGCTCACATGAGCCGCGGGCCCCATAGGGAGGGTGCTCCCGCCTGAGATCTCCATGCAATTTACTCACAGACGAAACTCCCGCCTGTGATGTGTGAGTGAGTGAATGAGTGAGAGAGTGAATAAACATGAGTATGAAGATAATGATGATGATGACGATGACGATGATGATGATGATGATGATGATGATGATAATGGTGATGATGATGTTGATGATGATGAGAATGCTGATGACGATGGTGGTGACGATGATGATGCTGAGAGTGTGAGTGAGTAAGTGAGTGGGCGGGTAGGTCGGTGAGTGAGTGGGTGAATGCGTGAGTGAGTAATGATGATGCGTGCGTGTGTGTGAGTGTGTGTGTGCGTGTGTGTGTGTGTGAGTGGGTGAGTGAGTGGGTGAGTGAGTGAATGTGAATGATGATGTGTATGAGTGATTGAGTGAATGAGTGTGCGATTAGAGAAGAGGAGAGGGTGTGTTCTCGTGTTCCTGCGCGGGGTGTCCAGAGAAAACAAAAAACCCACTGTGGATGTGGGGCAGCGTGCTCCCAAATGGCCGACGATTGTCAAGAATTTGTCCCCGGATTATTTTGGGGGTATCTTTGAATATTCCTCCTGTAGAGAGACAAGCCCGATTTCATAGTACGGTCAGGAACTTCTGCATAGCATCGGGGATCTTCTGACCCAGGTCAATCCAGGACACGGGTCAGCAGGAAACCAAGAACTGTGATGCAGGAACAAAAACAACTGCAACGCAGGTCTTCACAAACCCGGGTCAGCCAATAGGCGTGGCCGCCTCGCGGCCACGAGCGGCTCGCTGACCCGGGTCAGCCAGAGGGGGTCTTCGCAGGATCCTGCAGGATCCGGCGCCCTGGCTAACCCCCGTTTGCGTTGACCCTCGTCTCAAGGCTCCCGATAGCATGTCGCGGAGGCAGCCCCGGCGACACGCTGTGCCCTGCAAGCGGACGGCGCGCCGCGCCGCTCCGCGGGGCGGGAGGCCGGAGGAGGCTCGGGCCCTCGGGGACCGGGACGTGCACTTCGTGTCGCGCCGCAGCGCTGTGGGCCAGCACCCGCGGGGACACGCGCGGAGCCAGTTCCGGACCGTGCCGGCGGACTCGATTGGACGGGGCACGCTCGGGTCGGGCCAAAGGGAGGGGGATCTGGCAAAGGGGGGTTTGAGAAGCAGCTCGCGTAGCTGATTTTCCCGACGATGTATCAAGGAATGGGCCCCTCGGTGAGGCCGAATCCAGCTGCATGCAGCAAATTTCGTACCCCCCCCTTTCCCAATCCCCCCCTTTCGTCCGGCCCGAGACAGGACGCGCGAGAGGACACAAGACCTTTCCGAGGGCCACATTGCCACAGGAATGAAGGAAGCATGGGTCGCGAGACACAGGACACAAGGGTACCCTTGATTTGGCAGGGTCAACCTACTGATCTGGGCCGGCTGTAACCTTTACGGCCGCCCTTCCGGTTGATAAGCAGGCTGGCGGGAGGGGAAGAAATCAACCGCTTGCAACTGCGATAGGTGTGATGATGACGATGCTGTTGGCGCGCCCTCGAATTGGCGACGACGCGTGGTGACGATGTTGCGCCGCGATGTGATGTCATTACCGACCCCGCTATCGATCTCACTCGATCGATCTCACTATCGACCTCCGTAAACTTTCGATCATCTCGTTCGTTGTCGGTCTCACAATCGATCTCACTACCGATCGGGAACCCCATCGGGACACCACGACGGAACGCCGCAGGACACCGTGGGACACCACTGGACACCACGGGACACCGCGGGACACCACTTGGACACCACGGGACACTAACGGGGCACCAAGGGACACCGCGGGGCACCACGGCGGGACATCGCGGGACACCATCGGGACAACGCGGGACACCACGGCGGGACACCCCCAGCCACCGCGCGCCCACCGGGGGGCTGGACTTTTTCATCCGAATCGCCCCAGCCACGGCGAGATCACTCCGCGCGTCCACGGCGGGACACCGCCGGACACCATCGGGATGTACCGCGGGACACCACCGCGGGACACCCTCAGCCACCGCGCGCCCACCGGAGGGCTCTGCCCCTTTTCGGAGCGGCCAAACGTTTCGGGCGGCACTCGGGGATTGCGGAGGAAAATCCCCTGCGAGGGCTGGCAGGCACCCGTTGGCCCCGAGCCCGTTGCGTGCGCCCTGCGGAGGCCCCCCTGGACCTCCGGGAGACCCCCTGGGGGAGCTCCGTGCGAGACAGTTCGGGCGTCTGCGCAGCAACTGCTGCAGCATCGGGCGGGCAGCTCTCGGATCGACGGGTAGGGATGGCCCGAAGGCCAAGAGATCCGAGGATCTGTTTTTTTCCATGCGGGCGAATGTCCTCGATTTCGGCCTCCGGGGCCCGTTATCGGGCCCAGAGGCCATCAACACACGAATCCGGGATAGGGGTTGGGACCTCTGCGGCCGCGGATGGAGAACATCATATCGGCGGATGTCTGGGTAGGCACGGGTGCGGAAGCACGGCACATGCAAGCCTCGGCGACGTGGGAGTTGGTTCCTGACTCTGCTGGATGCTCACTCTGGGGGCCTTCCTGGGGACACTCGATCCACTCGTGCATCGGAGCTGCGTCGAACGTCCGTCGATTTGCACCGACCTCGAGTCGAACCGGTGACGAGCCCGAGTCGAACTTGAGTCGAACTTGAGTCAAACTTGCGTCGAACTGGGGTCGAACTGGGGTCGAACTGGAGTGGAACATATCCGTCAGGTGGGCCACAGGAAGGTCCCCCAAACGAGCATCTATAAACACCGCGCGGGCCGTTCAACCTTGAACGATCGTGGCTGCTCGATGGCGCCGCCGCAGTCACCGTGGCGCGAACCCTCCGTAGCCTCGGTGAGTTACTGCATTCTTGCTACTGTTTTGACCCCGCACCTTCTCCGCGCGCCCTCCTCTTCCTCCCCGCTCTCCCAGGAGCAGAATGGGACGGGAAGGCATGTGTTTACAGTTTCTAGCCGTGGGTCCTTATCTTGTCTATCGCCGCCTGGCGGGCTATATCCCCCTCTGGCTCTTCCAAGGGTCTCGCTTCTGCTGTGGCCTTCATCAACTTATCATGGAGGTGTTCGTCAAGCTGGTCCAGGGACTTCCCGCTGACTTCCCGAATTTTGTCCGCCACTACCTCCGCCGTCTCCTTGTGCTTGTCATGGGTGTCGTACACTCCGATAATGGACTCGGCGTCACTGAATGCTTCCATGCAGGCCTTGCCATGTTTGTGTGAATCCACAAACTTTTTGGCGGCCTCAACGACAGGGTCCTGTAAATTGATACTGGTAACCATGACGATGTTGAAGACTGACGCCAAGATAATGTTTCTCATGGCGCTAAACGGGGGCATACTCGAATGGGAGGCCGATAGTCCCGCGAGACCTCAGAGCCACAACGGCTACGCACGATGCTGGATATTAGTTCTCCTTCGGAGTAGCTGACAGCTGTGGCCTTCGGCGCTTCCCTGGCAATTACGCTGCCTCCTCCTCCTCCTCCTCCTCCTCCTCTTCGTCGTCCTCCTCCTCCTCCTCGACGCGTGCTTGAGCTATGCAGTGGCGGCCTTCAAGGACACACGATGTTGGCATCCATGTGGCGGCCGTGCGCGCCCCGGCATGATCAGCCGAGGTGCTCAGAACCTGGAAACCCTGTCCTCCTCCTCCTCCTCCTCCTCCACCTCCTCCTCCCCCTCCTCCTCCCCCTCGCCCTCCTCCTCCTCCTCCTCCTCCTCCTCCTCGCTGTCGCTTCTTCCTCTCAGGATGTCACCAGCTACACACATCTGGACCGACCCTGACCCTGGCAAGGCACCCTGGGCCCGGGGCCGCTGTACACACCTCCTGGCCGCGCCAGGAGGGCGTACATACAAACATACATCTGCACATCTACGCTCCCGTCCTGGGACCAAGACTGGCCTGGCCAGGACCGGCGCTCGAGTGCACTTCGCATTCCCCTCGATGTCATCGCCCTTGTCGCACAGGAGAACAGAGGATCGTTTCACGGCTTCGCCAACGCACCTCTGACGTTCACACCCTTCCCTCCTCTTGGCACTCGCTCGCAGCCCGTTTTTGACTTTCGCACTGCCCGCCTCACTCCGTCTGCCCGGGCGCGCTGCCGTACGCTGTCAGAGACACGGCTGGGCAGCAGACCGCTCCGCTCTGCTCTGCTCGATCCTTGTCCCCAGAGGTAATGCCAAAAGCGGTCACCACCAGGGAGGTCGCCACCTCCTCAAGGAGGGCGATCCCGAAGCCCACCAGAACATCTCAACACCGTCCAAAACCTCGACCACCAGGAGGGGCTGGCGACCACCTTAGTGGTGAGCCCCTTTAGCACTGCCGGATCTGATCCGAAGCCAGGATGAAGATAAATCTGACTCGGCGGGTCTGCAACATGTATCCTGTGCCGCGGCAGTTCCAGTGCGTGCCATAAAGTTCCGGGAGCGTCCTGGAACCCTCTGTTGGATCTGGTGATCTCCCTCCTCCTGGTCTGCCTGGTGATCTCCCTCCTCCTCCAGGGCTCCCCGGGAGCATCAGGAGGCGACCGATGCACGCGCCACGCGGTGACCGCCCCTGGCTGCTGGGGGCGCCCACGCGAGGCTGACCAGGCGTCTTGTCATTTCCGTGATTTCACAGGGGATACGTCGACACGCATCCCAGGCTTCGTGGGCTTCGACTGAACCAGAAACTTGGGGCCCAGCCCTGGGATGTACGAGGGGGCGGGCGCCCAGCCTCGATAAGGGGTGCGTCCGAGCAGCCCCCTCTGGGGTGTATCCCAGGGCTTCCCCCTTGTTCTGAGCGGCCAAACTTTTCGGGGGATTGGGGGAGAAGAACCGCCTCCGATGATTCGCTCCCTCCTCCTCCTCCTCCTCCTCCTCCTCCTCCTCCTCCTCCTCTTCTTCTTCTTCTTCTTCCTCCTCCTCCTCCTCCTCCTCCTCCTCCTCCTCCTCCTCCTCCTCCTCCTCCTCCTCCTGTGTTGTTGGACCTCCTCCCGTTGTAGTTGCTGCTGTGGTGGGGGGACCACCTGGCCCCCCGCCCTCCCTCCGAATGGAAGGCCAACATAATGGCGCACACTTGTCGGGGATCCATTGACTCGGGTCGATTCGGGGATGGACAGAACGAGCCCCCTTTAGCAAAACGTGGTTCAATGAAAACGACCTCGGGCCAAAACCTGGCGGGCGCGAGCCTGGAACATGACGGCCGCGGCGCCCTCCCGAAAACCGAAGGCGGACAATTCACTTGTCGACGTGCCAGGGTGGGGGATCTGTCCACCCCTGACTGATCCGGGGAAACCCAGACCCGGGCTAGCCAGGCCTTGCAGGATCGGGCAAATCCTGCAAGATCCTGCGCGCAAGCCCCGGTCAGTGGGCCCCTGGCTCTGCAGGATCCTGCAAGATCTGGCGCGCTGGCTGACCTCCGTTTGAATCGACCCCCGTCCCTTGAACCCAAATTTCGGGAGGCCGCACGGCCTTCTAGGGTTAGGTCGGGCCTGTCCCCCTACAGGCGGATTTTGAATAAAAATAAGACAGAGATTCCTCCTGTAAATGAACACGCCCGATTTAATTGTAGGGTCGGCACAGGGCACCTCTCTGCAACCTTGGTCGCCCCCCCGCCCCCCCCACGCGCCCACCCTGGCATCGCTCCGCGCGCCAGGGAGAGGGGTGGAATAATAAGGAGGAGGAAAGGAACCCAACCGACACGCCTGAGGGTGCGACGGGGAGGAATTATCTCGAGAACAAAATGGAAGAGGAGGATGAGGAGGATGAGGAGGACGAGGAGGAGGAGGCGGAAAACGACGACGACGACGTATCCTCGTCTGAGAGCTATAAAAGGAAGCGGCAACATTGAAGGCGCCGCCGCGGCGCGGCGTCGGGAGGGGCGTCCAACGCCCGCCTACGCGACCCGCGCGAACCTCCATGATCTCTGACTATTTGATCACATGTTTGTCCCCCGTCGCCCCCAGGCCTTGCGGCCATCGCCCTCCGCGACGAACCCATGGCCCATGGCGCAGGCCGCTCGTAAGACATTTGCACCATAAGGAAATAAGTCGGCAGTCGAAACTAAACTGGGCTCTGGCCCGCCCAAGCAATCGGCGGGCAACGCGCGCAGTGACCCATCGACCCTCGACGTGAGACAACGTTCAACGTTGACCGCGACCTGGGAGTCCCAAGCTCCAGGCTTCCAGCGAAGGGCTTTCGTCGCTGGGGGCCCAGCGTGCCTAGATACGGCTGGCAATGAGGGTGGGCCTTCTCGCCCTCTGTTGTCCAAGTGCCCTGGGCATGGGTGCCACGGCGAGGAAACGAGTTCGCCGCTGGCTGGCAGCCGAACGCGAGGACAAAAAGGGGCTCAGAAGCAACCTTTGCCTGGCTGCCTTCCGCGGGCCCCGGGGCCAGTGCGCGACGAAGAGCATGCAATACCCTCTTCTCAGGTGCCTTTTGGGGGCAAGCTTTGTTTCTCTGTTCAAACTTATGTTGTCCCCATCCGACTTAAAAAACCACATCCCATAAATAATTCCGAACACCCGGAAACATGACAAAAGAGTGTCGAAACAGTGTCGGGCGAGTGTCTCCCACGGCCCGACACGCGAAAGCCCTTGAACTTCGGAACTTTCTTTGGCGCTCGAGATTCTCTCTGGTGACCAAGGCTAAAGTAGGCTGGAGCATCATACATTCAGGCCCGAAGCTCCGATGATGGCCTGATTCATGTCTGCGCTGGAACTCTGATTCGAGTCTGGCCTTAAGTCGGGCCTGTCCCCCTACAGAATTTGTCGACGAAAAATACAACATACCCCAAAAATAATAAACATAGCTCAAAAATAGTATGGGGACATGTTTTGAATATTTTTTGTGGCCATTTTGGGATATGTTTGGGGTATCCATAATTTTCGTCGAAAATCCCCCGGTAGGGGGACACGCCCGACATAAGTCTGGCCCTTAGGCCCTGCCCAAAACTGCTCAACTGCAGCTGGGGCGAACACAAGGCTCGCCCCATAGGCTCGCTCCTCGGGGCTGCCGGCTGCCGCGCCGCGACGGGATGCGCATCGCGGTGACCGCCTCGATCCCGGCCGCCCGCCCGGGACACGTCGGGGGCAGGCGGCGCAGTGGAGAAGCGCCGCACTTTTCGGAAGGCTCGGGGGCGCGGGAGGTGCCCCGGGATGTGCGTAGAACGAAGGCGGGGACAAGGTGCAAGGGTAGGAACGATCGCGAGAACGAAGGCGGAAGCGGGGGCAGGAACTGGGGTGGGAACGGGGGCGGGGGCGATGGGCGAGAACGAAGGCGAACACGAAGGCGATAACGAGGGCGGGAACGAGGGCGGGAATGAGGGAGAGAACGAGGGCGGGAGCGAAGGCGGAAACGACGGCGGGAACGAGGGCGAGAACGAGGGAGATAAAGAAGGCGAAGACGAGGGCGGGAGCGAGGGCGAGAACGAGGGCGAGAACGAGGGCGGGAACGAGGGCGGGAACAAGGGCGGGAGCGAGGGCGGGAACAGGGGCGGGAACGAGGGCGGGACCGACGGCGGGAACGAAAGCGGGAGCGACGGCGGGAGCCAAGGCGAAAACGAGGGAGAGAACGAAGGCGGGAACGAGGGCGGGGACGAGGGCGAGAACGAGGGCGAGAACGAGATCGAGGACGAGGGCGAGAACGAGGGCGAGAACGAGGGCGGGAGCGAGGGCGGGAACGAGAGGGGGGAGCGAGGGCGGGAGCGACGGCGGGAGCGAAGGCGGGAATGAGGGCGGGGGGCCGCCTCTGGGCGCCTCCAGGATTCCTCCGGGCGCTTCGGGAATTCCCCTGGCGCCTCCGGAGAACCGGGGAAACACCGGGGAACCTCCAGGAGGTCTGTTTGAAGTCCGTTTGAAGTCTCTTCGAAGTGTGTTTACAATCTGTTTGAGGTATGTTTGAAGTTTGCTTTGGGCCAAACTCTGATTAAGGTCTGTTTGGGGTCTGTTTAAGAATTCCGTCTGAAGTCTGTTTGAGGTCTGGCCGAAACTCTGGTTTCAAATCTGATTTCCCCGGGCGGCCCTTGGGTTCCCCGGGCGGCCTCTAGGCGGCCCCGGAACGAGGGCGAACACGAAAGCGAGAATGAAGGCGAGAACGAGGGCGGGAACGAGGGCGAGAACGAGGGCGGGAGCGAGGGCGGGAGCGACGGCGGAACGAGGGCGAGAAACGAGGGCGAGAACGAGGGCGGGACCGAGGGCGGGAGCGAAGGCGAGAACGAGGGCGAGAACGAGGGCGAAAACAAGGGCGGGGACGAGGGCGAGAACGAGGGCGGGAGCGAGGGCGGGAGCGACGGCAGGGACGTGGGCGGGAGCGACGGCGGCGGCGAGGGCGCAAACGAAGGCGAAAACGAGGGCGGGAACGTGGGCGGGAACGAGGGCGGGAACGACGGTGAGAGCAAGGGCGGGATCGAAGGCGAAGGCGAGAAATAGGGCTGAAGTGAGAATGGCTGCGGGCGGGGGCCAGGGCGGGCG